TACTTATCCTACAACGTCACACCAGGACTGTGCTGTTCGTGTGGTTAAGCGCTGATGAGTTGGTTATGATTTACAGCAACCCTGTTTAGGATTTCTGAGGATCCGCTGGTGGGTTTGAACTGCCAACCTTGTGGCTTGCTGTCTGGTTCTGATCCTACAGTGTCAGGCCAGGAGTCCACACCAGGACTTTAGGTGCTGTTGATTATTTCCCTAGACTGTAAGTAATGACTTTATCTATACTTTGAGAGATAAACTGTGCAAACACTTCCAAGTCAAGGATATATATCCATGATAACCATTTACTACTACTTCCACTTAAGGAAGACCCTACCCTTGCAAGTCAGATATTTAAAGTCTCAATTTCTAAATGGACAGGATCTGAGATCCTGGTGACCTGAATCTTCAAAGGCTAACTAAAATTGCACATGGACCACCAGATATTTGTACTACAATCTTGTATCCCATTTGTGTAGAATCTTGACCTTTCTTCCACAGGTGTGATGGTGTCTCATATTCTACAAAGTGCTTCCCTTTGCATTTAGATTACTATTGAATTGCTCCAAATGGAATCCTTCCTAGTCAAGAGTTCTTCACACACATCTTCAATAGTATCCTTACAAAGAAAAGCAGTCTGCATCACAAGCTTCTGCTTCCTTCTCCCAGACACAGTCTTGCCTCATACTGATGCCAAGGCAGCAAATATGCCTCAGTACATAAGGTCTCTGCTTCGGGAGTTGAGGTATCCTACAATCCACCTGTCAGAACTTTTGTTATCCCCTTTCTTACCATCAGTTTACTCATGGAGGAAAAGTTGTTAATCTGATGGATTAGAGCCCACAATATTTATTGTTGTTGTTGTTAAGTACAATTGAGTCAATTGACACCCATAGCGACCCTGTATAGGGTTTCTGAGGAGCAGCTGATGAGCTTGAACCACCGACCTTGCAGTTCAAATGGCTTTGCAGTTTGGTGCATTAACCCACAGCACCACACCAGGACTCCACAACATTTATTAGTCATGCTTTAATAGTGGTTGGGATTACTATAGCTTGAAGTCAGGAACCCAGACTACATCCTTTTTAACCTCTCCCTTACAGTAAGTACAACTGGGCATGGATTATTTCTGAGAGTGAGTTCATATTCCAGGTGGGTTTGTGGCTAAGTAGACTCACAGAAATAGCATACCAGGGACTTCAAGAAGTTAGTGGGGAAAAGTAGAACTAAAAGATAATGGAATTTGTCCAGGAACTTTTTGAAGGCGCCTCATATTTCCTATCAGAACATGTTTCAAAATTTAGATTTAGGGAAAAATCAGAGAAACTACTTTAGCCTCTCGCCACATACTGAATTCCTCAACATACCTTTTACCTGAGCTTTATTTTCTGCATTAACAAAAACCTTAGCTCTTTCATCTGCTTCCTCATTTGTCTTTTAAATGATATTTAGGCCTTTGAAGAAAGAAGCCAACACTTAACTATCAGAATCAAGAGCTGAATTTACTGCTTATAAGCAAAGGGATCCCTAGTGACAATTAAGGACAATTAAGCACTAGACTACTAACCTAAAACATGGTGCCTCCAAAGAAAGGCCTGGTGATATGCTTTGAAAGGTCACAACCATGAACACCCTATAGAGATTTGTTCTACTCTGAAACAGATGGGTTCACCATGAGCCAGAATCAACTCAGCATCAACTGCTGACTGCTAAAGCAAAGGGGAGCTTGGGAGGCAGAGTCTTTCTGAGCAAGGCAGAGAGCTGATCTTAGGCAGGGTTTTGGCAGCATGGAGTAATTTGCAGAAGAGAAATGGATTGCAGATAGGATGAGCTTTAGCTCTAGAAGATGGTTATTTAAATGAGACTGTTACTGATTGACTGACTCTCAGAAGCATGAGAATGAGAATGAAGTTGTCACTGATTAACTGGCTCCTGAAGCGAAATTGTCACTTTTCTGTTATGAAGACTTTATAACTAGTTCAAGTTATAAAGATTACTTGTTGCTGTAATAAAAATGAGTAAATAGAGATTTTGTTAAGAGCATAGGAAGTTTTCCCTCTGTATATTTATATTCTTTCTCTAAGAAAGGGGTAAAATAATTCACTCCCACATTCACTATTCTAATACCTATTAAGATGAACTTAAATGGGATTTGACTCTATTTTTCTGAGCCTAGATTCTCTAGAAAACATATATAGATGTAAAGAGATTTATTTCAAAGAAATTACTCATGTGATCATAGAGGCTGAAAAGTTCTAAATCTCTGGGCCCAGTAGCAGATTGCAAGCCTCTCTGCTAGCTCATGGGATTGCAATGAGTTAGCAAATCCAAAATATGCAGGTCAGGGAGTAGCTGAACACTTCTGCAAGCATGTATCCCAAGAACCTGAGGTTAAGTGACAATAAGAGTATAGGGCAAACAGACAGTCAACCTTACCAGAACATGTTGTATACTGGAGGTGGGCCACATCCCCAAGGTGCCCCTCTCCTTTCAATAGATTAACTGATCAGATCAAATCAGATCATGAAAGTGATTACATTATATTACATTATGGAAAAGCAATCAGTCCACTATCTGCCGAATCACTGAGAATCATCAATTAACTAAGGTGGCATATAGCATTAACCACATATTTTATTATTTGTATAACTAAAATTACTGTAACTAGATTTTGGTAGTTTACCTCTTGAGTGAAGTTTCTCGCATTCCAGTCATTACTAATGGACTCAGTTTTCATTCTTTGGAAGTTCACCCTTATACAGAATGTTGTATGGGACCACACACACCTCTATAAGATTCAATACACTCATTTCCCTAGACAACAAGGGTGTTACTATCCAAAAACTTTAAGTTGAGTCCATCTTGAGGATTACTATTGACCAAGGGAGCCCCACCCAAGTTTATGACTCAGAGACAGCTCACCTCCAAAGACTAGTCTATGCAGGTAGGTGAAGCATGGGTCCAGTCACCCCAATGCGAAACAACTCTGAAAGTCCTTCTGGATCAAGAGATCTCCATGGGAACTACTGAAGCCCAGAACTATTTCCCCTACTGCCTCAAAGTTCCTGTTGCTCAGAGCACTCTCTAAAACTCCTTCTGCAAGCAAATTTTCTCCTCCATATCTGTGCACAATAATGGTACCAAAGACCATGATTCAGCAAGACTTTTAGAGAGCAATTGTAGATGGTAAAATGTCTGTCACTGACTTTAATTTGCAAGACTGCTGTTTTAGCTGGAAGTAGATTTCTGGGTTCAAATTCATTTCTTCCTTCAAATTCTTAAAATATGGCTTCATTGACTTCTTGTATCCAGGATTGCCAATAAGAATTCTAGTGCCAATCTAATGCTTATTTATTTATGGGTAGGTATTTTTCATATCTGTAATCTTTTAGAAATTTTTGTCTTTGATCTGAATGTTCTTAGATTTATTTTACTGTGTTTGGGTTTGATCCTTTTCTAATTCATTTGCCCACATTTGGAGACATCTTTGATTCTGAAAATGTGTGTACTTTTTTTTTTTTTTTTTAAGCACTGAGAAGCATTCCTCTAAATTTTCTTGATTAATTTGTAACCAACCACTCTTCTACTCTCATCTTTATGGATTTATTCTGTCGTATGTTTGAATTTGAATTTCTCATTATATCTCCTACACTTTTCTTTGCCTTCAGTACTCTCTTACTTTTTTTTCCCCTGAATACGTTTGCCCTTCGTTGTCCTTCCATGCTACATTTGGGGAGAATTATTCAGCTCACTAATTCTCTCTTCAGTTTTGTCCATGCTACAATGTAACTAAATCTAATATGGAATTTGTTGTTGTAGCTGATGGTGTCATTGGACAATCAGAATTTTTTTTAATCTCCGTGACACTAATTGGTTCCCTTTCATATAACCTATTTCAATTACAAAAATAGGTATTTCCTCTTAACTTTATGGAGACATTATATCCATTCCTCACTTAATAACATGGTTCAATTCAAAAGTCCAGATTTTGTGGGATAATCATCAGTGTGAAAGTGGAGAATGACCATACCAGCTATGGAGGATATGGAACTACATCAAAATGGAGGATGACTACATCATTATATAACTGTCCAATCCCATCATTACAGAACTATCAGATTACAGTATCATATACCTCTCATCTAAGGAACTCTGGTAGCATAGTGGTTACGAATAGGGCTGCGAAACTCAGGGTCAGTAGTTTGAAACTATCAGCTGTTCCGTGGGAGAAAGATGAGGCATTCTGCTGCCGTAAAGATTTACAGTCTCAGAAACCCTGTCCAGGGTCACTATGAGTCGGAACTGACTCCACGACACATAACAACAACAACAATAACTCTCATCTGTCAGTTTGTCATACTATGGTGGTTTGCATGTTGCTGTGATGCTGGAAGCTATACCACTGATCATTAAAATATCAGAAGGGTCAGCCATGGTGGACAGGTTTCAACTGAATTTACAGACTAGGAAGAAGGAGAGGCAGACCACATCTGAATGGTTAGCCACTGAAAACCTATGGATATCAGTGAAACATTATCAGAGA